GGCCAGGGGTTTCTGCTTTTCAAAGACTGGCTTGCTAAAAGCTGACTTCTAACAACCCTTCCCTTCTCCTTTGCCCTATTTCCCAGCAGGGCAAATATGGAGAGCTCAACCTTAGTTTAGCCTACAGATGGAAAAGACAGAAGTCAGCATTTATTTTGTTTTATTCTAAGTATTTAAACATTGTTGAGCTTTTTTTTTCCTGGGTGTAGAGAAAGATGAACGTTTTTGTACTAGGGAGTGGGGTCCTATGCTTGTGAAAAGAGAAAAAAGAGAGATGAGTTGAGAGGAGAGGGCAGACAGGCAGATGGACTTCTGTATACAATCCTAAAATTAGGGAAGGTAGAAACATGCTGTTTTCCCCTGAATCATTTCTGGGCCCCAGCACATCCACTCCCTCTATTAAGAAAGCCTTGGGTGCTCACACACTTGGGAATGGAGTCATGGAGAAGGCAACTGATATTTAGTTTGAGGAGCTGGTTAGCTGTGTTTTCATAACTCCACTGGACTCCAGGTTTGAAAATGCCTGGAGCAGGAGCCTGTAAGTTGGGACATACATAGTTAACATTCTCCAAATTAGACAGTTTTGAAAAACTGTGAAGCCCCCTGTGGGAGCTAGTGTCAAGTAGGAGTTTCCCAGCTGCCTAGTCTTAAGACCCAGGACTGGAGAGATGAGGGAAATGTTATCCCCAAACTTAAGTAAGACTCTTTCAAAATATGGGGTAAACTGAGCCCACTTTTTAACTGGATTTGGGGGAGTCTAAGAGAGAAGGGTGCTTATGAACAATACAGCTGTCACCACCGACAAGAACACCAAACTCAGTGTTTCCTTGTGTAGATGGATAGTTTTGATTACTCCTCAAGATGCCATCACTAGCAAGAGGCAGCTCCCTGTGTCTCGGAGCTTTCACTGGTGTGTGTGCTGGGGGAGGGGAGAAAGTTGTACAGGTTTCCAGGATATCAGGCACGCTTTCCTTACATACACACACAGCGTTTTACAGTATACTGAATGAGGAAAAGACTAGCAAGGTTTTTTTTTCCACCAACGTCTCCCATTAAGAAGGGGCTATGTAAATCAATACTGAGTTATTTCTTTGAATTCAAAGGATTTTTATCCAGGTCTAATTTCTTTAGAATTAAAGTGATAACTGAGCCCAACTTAGCAACCAAACCCAGCCAGATCCTGCCTGGCTTTAATGTACTTCTACAGTCAAGGAGGCTACAAAACCACTTCAGGCACCCCAAAGCATTTCCACGGCTACATGCATGAGAAAACACGGGTCCAGACCTGGAAACAGCAGGAGTTTCTTTAACCCAAGAGCCCATTCCTCCAGCAGTGGTCATCAGGGGACCAGGGAGATTTTGTGTTGGCAATATACAAGCATTTCTCTCTAAATAACATTGACACTCGCAATACCAATTCCAACATCTCAACACCTTAAAAAGCAAAAAGCAGCTTAGGCCTCAAATCCTGCCTAGAGAATATGACCCTCACCTACTACAGGCCCTAAAACAGCCTTAGGCCTCCCACTACAGATTGCTGGGTTTACTTTTATTTTGAATGATAAAGACTTCGAAGGCCTCGCCTGCTCTACTCCTCCCACCCGCAAGGGTTGGCCGGGGTTCCCCTGCGGGCGAGACAAAGAAGCAGGAGCCAGGACCCGGCTGGCGCCTAACTCGGCGCCGGGGCCTGGAGCCCCTGAGGTGTGCCCCTTCCTGCAAGGCCCCAAGGAACCCGTTTTTTTGCCCTTCGCTGAAGGGTTGGAGGTGCGGGCTGGACTAGTGACAAAGGAGGGTGACTCCAACCTCTTTACTTCAGCTCATTGCTGTCACCCATGAAACTGGATGAAGGACTGGGAAGCCAGTCTGCCGGGTCCAATTGTAGAGAAATGACTGTCGGGAGCAGCCCTGTGGTAAATAGCCTCTGAGCAGCAAATTCTGCGCCGTGGCCGGTGGCAGAGGCTACACCTGGCAGCCCTACTCACCGGGCGCCACCTTTGCATGCTGTGCGGGGGTCACACTATCTCCAGTTTTCCATTCTCGTGCAAGAATGTCGGACAGTCAGGCCTGAAGTTTATATTCTGTCCTGCAAGTGCAGAGATAGCTATCACACCAAGTGGGACCCCTCGCTCGTTCCACTTTCCAGCCCTTGACTGTCTCTGAACCCAGCCTGGGTCGCCCAGCAGGTCTCAGCAGGGCCTTTACCATACGCCACAACTACCACCTTAGTGCAGCTGCTTCACTGGAACACAGTGCAGGGATTTTAGCCACTAACTAATGGGGGAAGGTTGAGAGCCCTGAAGCTACAACCCGGACACTCCTAGCCTGCCTGGCTTCCTCAGCTTTCAAACAAACGAGAAAAATATCTCTTTGTAAATAGAGGCTGCTGCACCCTGGATACGATGCTCAATTGCAGGACTTTTCCGAGGCCCTGCCACGACACACTCTGCTTAGGGTGCAGCCAGAGTTGCAGGAGGCTGGCGAGGAAAGCGGTGCACCTGCGAGGATAAAGGGAGAAACATAGACAAGCACAGGTTGGGGGTGTAGGGGGTGAAACGCCTTCACATTGTTAACAACAAGCTGCAGGGTATAAAGCAATAAAACTGCCACGTCTACCTGCTGGTATTGAGGACATTACACTTCTCGGCGCGCAGCCCGGGTGCACCGAGATCTCACTAGGGTGGGATTGGGAGGGAGGGGTGGGGAATCTTCTGTTTTCCTGACCTCCTCTTCTGTCCGACACCCCCCACATTTCCCCCCTACTTAGCCCACCTTTCTTTTTCCATGAAGCTTTTTTTTTGTTGTTGTTTTAATTCATGCCGATTTGTAAACGAGTGGATCGGGTTACTGGTTTGCGTGTTAAAGTGTACCTCTTGTTAAAAGGCGGGGAACAAGGCACACCACTTAAAAATGAATTCAGAGTTACTCAACCGGCTCCCCAGACTCAAGAACTTTAGCGCAGTGGGCTGGGAGAAGGAGGGGGAGAAGAGAGCAAACGCCGCTGACCCGGCAACTCTGAGGAAACTCCCGGGCAGCGAACTTCAGGTATTCTGATACATTGAATGAAAGAAAGAAAAAGAAAAAAGCAAACTAGCCTAGAGATAGCTAGACACCCAGGGCTGGGAGCTGGGAAAATCAATTAGCATAAGCCGCTGCCGGCCGGCTTCGCGCAACATGAAAATACCGAGCAGCTGCGTCTGCAACCACCCTTTTACGGAGTTACAGGGGCAAGCGGCACCATTTCTCTATATCTCAGTTTCCTACGATCCTGTAACTTATGGAGTCCAGGAGAAGTAGGACGTAAAGAAGTCCCTAGTATTTTTCCCAAAGGGAGACATACTCTCGTCCCCGTAACCTCCCGACACGGCAGTACAGGGTTGTTAGATTGTACATTTCTCCGTGCGGCCACAGGCTCGCGGCTCAGGTCTGTAAGCAGACCGAAAGCCGTCGTCCAGACTGAGAGGGTCTTCTGGTATCGCCCAGCCAGTCTCAATCCTCTGGAAGCGCGGCCTCCCGACAACCTCCTCCAGTCCTGGGACCCGAGACCCAGAACACCGGCGCACCCAGGCCTGCCCTCCTCTGTGCCTGGCCCCCAGTCCAGTCCTCCTACCTGTTGGCCAGGCCTGAACTGCGCACCGGGGCTCCGCTGTCTCTGCTTGGCTGCCTGGACTAGCGTGGGTCTAGAGACCGGAGGGAGAAAGGCTAGATCCGCAGCCTTGGGCTGTTCCGAACTTAATGTCTTTCCCCAGTCCATCTTTGAAAGAGAAGTGGTTCTACCACCTGGATGTGCGGATATAAATCCCCTTGCAAATAATAAATGGATTAATAATAACAAGGTATGAAGTTCTTTTTATAGAAAAAAAGGAGAGAATTGAAACTAAATGCGGCAGTTAGACAACCATTTTGATAAGAGGATAATTGAGGCGACACTGGTGTATAATTAGAGGATAATTTATGCTATATCCACTTTTATTCCACCTCCCAAAATAAACCCAGTCCATAATCATTACAGGCAAATTGTTCTGAATTTTATAGCAGCAATTTGAACAAAGTACTGCAGTTAATCATGGGAGATTTTTGTGTATTCCTGATTAGAACTCTAATTGCCTCCTTCCAGAAAGTAAAAATAACTGTAAAACGACTCTATTTTTATCATTAACAATGTTGACAATAAAATAAAATCAATTGGAATTGTAATCGAGAGACAAATTTAGGACGAAGGCACTTTTACTTGGGTAGTTTATATTGTAATCAAGATTTGCCAAACCACTAACCACATGTGTCATTTGCATATATTTGAAAGCATTACAGTAGCTTCTGTTTTCAATAGGAAAAAATGCATTACTGTCAGTCCTCCAACGATTCGCTTTCAGAACAGGCTGCTGCGTTCTGAAAAGAAAAAAAAGATCCCCACCCCCTCCACCTTTTGTACAATATATAAGAAATAGGGCCTGAAACGGCAGGGACCGAGCCAGAACGGGGTCTGATTTTTTCTTTACCACCCCCCAGAGGGGTGGAGCCCAGGTGTGAAGGTTCTTCTTCCCTCTGTGGTTTCAATAAAATACGTCTAGAAAAATCCATGGTGACAGGCAGCTCCCACAGGAGTATAGTGGGACTAAAGTGGAAGGGAGGTCAAGAAAGGGGGGCTTGGATTTAAATGCGGGGGGGGCATTGCTTCTAAGCACAGGCAGCCTGCAAGGGTGCAAGGGGATTGAGAGAGCAGTCCCCAGCTGGCTGTTACAAGGCTGAGATATTGGCAACTGGGGCTCCGGGATTTGGGGCACGAGCTGCGGCGGGAAGCATCAGCGGCCGGCCGGGCAGAGGCGCCTCCCTCCACGGCGGCCCTGCGCGCCACACAGTACGGCCCCCGGCTGCAGCTCCGGCTGGGATTGGAATTGCGGAAGGTAGGCGAAGAACTCAGCAAGCCGCACACACGCCAGTAGAAGCCGTGCGCCTGTGACGTCAGGGGGCGACTGACCAATGGGGAGGCGCTGCCCTTTGGAGACAAACCATTCGACTCGTGGCGTCTGCATCAAGTCTGAAAGCAGACGCGCAACTTTCGCAGAATCCACCTTAAAATCTCTGCCTTAAACTGCACCAGCCCCCAAAAAATCCAAGGGGGGAAAGCAGGCGGGGGGGAGAGCAGATTCCCCCCTCCCCCTCTCCTCTCCCATCCCTCCTCCTTCCTCCTCCCTTTGAGTTAACAAGGCCCCGCTCACTATATCTCTTTATATTAAATATATATATATATTAGAGAAGAGCGAGGGAGAGGGAGAACCACCTCCACCCCCTCTTTAAATTTTTTTTTAAAAATTTTTTTTTGCAAGGATCCAAAGAGCTAAGGTGGCTGCAGAGGGGAAAGCGGCGCAAGCCAAGTGGGGGAGGGTGGAGGAAACCCGGGAGAAGGCTTTCTCCAGCCCCCAAAGTTTTGATGATGACCATGACTACGATGGCTGACGGCTTGGAAGGCCAGGACTCGTCCAAATCAGCCTTCATGGAGTTCGGGCAGCAGCAACAGCAGCAGCAACAGCAGCAGCAGCAACAGCAGCAACCGCCGCCGCCACCGCCGCCGCCGCAGCCGCACTCGCAGCAGAGCTCCCCGGCCATGGCAGGCGCGCACTACCCTCTGCACTGCCTGCACTCGGCGGCGGCGGCGGCGGCGGCCGGCTCGCACCACCACCACCACCACCAGCACCACCACCACGGCTCGCCCTACGCGTCGGGCGGAGGCAACTCCTACAACCACCGCTCGCTCGCCGCCTACCCCTACATGAGCCACTCGCAGCACAGTCCTTACCTCCAGTCCTACCACAACAGCAGCGCAGCCGCCCAGACGCGAGGGGACGATACAGGTGAGAGGCCGCTGGGGCAGCTCGCTTCTCCCGCCTCCCAACTGCCCCCCACCCCGCCCGCCCCACTCACCGCCTCGACGCCCGGGCCTCCGCCAGCCTCCTCCCCCAGGCTGCCCGGCGCGCCCTCGGCCGGGCCCGGTGCGCGCCCGCTCGCCTGGCGCCTGCCTGCCGGCCTCTCCCAGCCGAGCCCCTTTCCGCCGCCGCGGACCCTCAGCTTCCTCGCGGGGCGGTGCGGCCCGCCTCGCTCCCCTGCCTCCGACGCGCAGTTCGGGCTGAGTCCCCGGCTCCGCGCAGGCTTCGCTCGACGAGTCGGTCCTCACTGCGCTCTCCAGCCTACTGGGTCTGTGCACCCTTTTCCTTGCTCCTTCCCTCCAGGCTGTAACCCACGTTTGACAGGGCTGGGGACAATTCTGGGCCGGAACTGGGGAGCGTGTTTTGCTTCCCAGCCCACGCTGGGCAGGCAGTGGCCTACTTTGCGTGGGGCGCCCCGTGCGCCTCAGTGACTCGGAGGGAAACTAGTAACAGTGAAGCTCTTTCCAGAGGACTTTAAGGTGTCCCCCATCTTTATCCCTGACCAGGCCCCCTCTCTTAAGGTTTCGCTACTGTGTTGGCTGCTCCTTTGTTCGTGGAGGCGAAGCAGAGGACCTCGGGCTGATGGTTCTCAGCACTCGAAGGGGACAAAGTTGCCGTGAGAGGCGCAGCTTGCTCTTGGGCTTGTTTGAGCGTTGGTAGTGTTTTGATTGGGGATTTGGTCCTCCTCAGCAGAGTCATTTCAAACATGCCGAGGATGCTTGATGCTCTGAGCTTGAAGCTGGTGACATCAAGTCAACTGGCCGCGTAAACACCTGGGTGGCTCAAGCACAGCTTCAGGCACTGTTAAGCCAGGCACAGGGGCCCTGCTCCGGCCGGAGAGCTGCCGCCTTGCTGCGCTATGCGCCCCAGAGAGCCTCCGGCACCGCCTCTGCTGCTACAAAACGGGCTCTTTGCCTGAGGGCCTCTGGCGCTCCCTTGGCTCAGCACTGCACATTGTTAGGGCCAGGGACTGGGTCAGGGAGATTACGCAGGCGCTGGGAGCACACACGGGCAGAGTGGACCAATAGAGGTCAGGGTATCATGGGGATTTTTCGAGGTAACCCTTATTGGGCTTTGGGGAGACTCGGTCCAGGCCATGCCAGGAGCAGGGAGATGGCAGCAGTGGCCTCCCAGGTGACCGCTCCTCTGTGTTATTTGCTTGCAGATCAACAAAAAACTACAGTGATTGAAAACGGGGAAATCAGGTTCAATGGAAAAGGGAAAAAGATTCGGAAGCCTCGGACCATTTATTCCAGCCTGCAGCTCCAGGCTTTAAACCATCGTTTTCAGCAGACTCAGTATCTGGCACTTCCAGAGAGAGCTGAACTGGCAGCTTCCTTAGGACTGACACAAACACAGGTAATTCCCGAGAAGCCCGAGTATCCCTGAAATGCTGGTCCCGCTTGCAGATCGGGCAGGGAGCACATCAGGAGGAATTGTTGGCCTAGTCAACCAAGGATGGAAAGAGCTTTATGACAAATGCCTTTTGCTCCAGTTATGCACTTTCCTGGGACAACACAGTTTGGAATGAATGACCTGGTATTGAATACTGGATTGGATTTGCACATCCTCCCAACCCTCGGCGACCCCACCCCAGCCCAGAATCCTTTTGTGACCAAGCTCATAATTCAATTAAGTCTTATTCCAGAGCAGAACAACACGAAAGAGAACAAACATTTAGGAGAAAAAGGTGTACAGGTCGGGAGGCAGAATAAGGTTCACCTTTCTTAAGGATCCTTTTGTAGGCCCTGGGAGCTAATAAGGATTTCAACTCATTGACACAGAAAGAAAACTCGTGAAATGAACTAAGAAAAAACAAAGTGGGCCTAGGTTCCAGTGAGGTTTAGTGAAGGCATCAAAGTGCAATCTATTCATCCTAGGAATGGCAAGGTGGGTTGTTTTCTGAAGATTTCCCTGAGCACAGTGGTTAAGTCATCTGGGTGACAGGCTGATGTGGTCTGAGCTGCCTCCTCGGAGCACAGGAGTTGGGTGTAATGGCAGAGTTGGAGATCAAAGAGAAATGTTACCCAAATTGTAACAGGTGAAGCCACAGTTCAGTACAGTTACTGAAGTTCTCCCATTCTACTAATTTGAAAGACATAGAAGGCATTTCAGATTTCATGAGAAGGAGCTTAGGTGAGTATACTAGGTCAAAAAGTATATTGGTCAAAAAGCCAGGCTGCGATCACCCGCAGATTTTGTTGATTAATTTACCTGTGTGGAGCAGGTAGGCCTCATCTGATGTAGGTAATCTTCAGCCAGGAGACCTCAGGTTTTATGAGACTACGGCTGGAGACTGATTTTGTGTTGACTTAAGACTGTTCTTTAAGCTCTTCTTTTCAATTTAGCTTGTTTTCTCTTTCCATATTTCCATTCATAAATATTTGGGGTTTGATATGAAGGCATTCTGGCTATTTAATGGCTTGTATGACTCTTGAAAAAGTAGATTCCTATGGCTAGACAATTTTAAAGGTAAGGGAAGCTGCACCATAGAGTTTCCTTCTTCAAATAAAGTACATCTGAAATATTGGCCTAAATATGCTCCCAACCCAGATTCCCGATTCACATTTTCAGAAGTCCTTTGACTTTTAGTTACTATATTCACAATCATGTGATGATCATTGACCACAATTTGACTAGGCAACATACAAAATAGGGAATGAAGGAGCTGCAGTCCTTAATCCCTGCAAGCTTATGGGGATATATTTATGTCTAAAGAAAGATGCTTCGTGTATAACCTACGGCATGTGCAATATATGCATAGATATATTTAATGCATTTCATTATAAATGTACAGGCTTCAGTCCTTCAAAGTCATTTGCTCCCTGTACATGTAGAGAGAGACCAGCTTTTGGGTATTTCTACGCATGTAGAGGGAGCAAATGACTACATAAAATAGTCTTTTTACATAGACTAAATGTAAAAGCACGGACTACCAGAGGAGGTGCATTCAATTGTATGGCTTTGATTTGAAAGAGCTCCTTTTAAAAATCCTTCTTTAGGCTTTTGACCTGGTCATCTCATTCAGTTTTTTCTTATTTTTGCTGTTGTTTTATACCCAGGCTAGCATGCAATTCTAGAATTACAATGACTTTAGGTATCCAGGCAAGATACCTAGTAGGTTGGAGGAAGTGGGAGTGTAAGAAGCTAGGAAGAGGTGGAAGGAGGCGGGACTTGGCTTGTTGGCATTTGCAGTGGTTGTTTGTTTGTTTGTTTGCTTTTTGCTTTTAAATATTGCTTCCAAATCTCCCAAGTGACACTAGAAGCACTGGTTTGCTGTTTATGGGCCTAATGATTGCTGCATTTCTTACAGGTGAAGATATGGTTTCAGAACAAACGCTCTAAGTTTAAGAAACTGCTGAAGCAGGGCAGTAATCCTCATGAGAGCGACCCCCTTCAGGGATCCGCAGCCCTGTCGCCGCGCTCACCAGCGCTGCCTCCAGTCTGGGACGTTTCTGCCTCGGCCAAGGGTGTCAGTATGCCCCCCAACAGCTACATGCCTGGCTATTCTCACTGGTACTCCTCTCCACACCAGGACACGATGCAGAGACCACAGATGATGTGAGTTGTCCAAGGGAACACCCTAGGGAAACCTCTGAACAAGGAAAGGAGAATCCGGGACCTGCTTGTATCTGCAAAAAAGAGCCGAAGGAGCAGGCTTAGAACTCACAAATGTGTCGAGAAGCCGAATAGGCTCATATTCTCTCTCTCTCGCTCCCTCTCTCTCTTTCTCTCTCTCTCTCTCTCTCCCCCTCTCTCTCTCTCTACCTCTCTCTCTCTCTCTCTCTCTCTCTCTCTCTCTCTCTCTCTCTCTCTCCCCCTTTCTTTTCACTCCTATTTTATTTCTTCCATTTCTTCTTTCCTTTCTACCTTTCTTTTCTTTTTTCCTTTCAACATTTTTTTCTCATTTACCCTCTCTCTTGAGCAATGTCAGTAATTGATCTTGCATCTCAGAGAGAGAAAAAGAATATGTGTGAGAGAGAAACTGGTTTCTATGCCAGCACTCCTGAAATCCCTTACTGTAAGGATATTTGCCCTTACCCCTTGGGATCCAGGCTCTGAGCTTCTTCTTCTTGGGAGTATCCATCAAAATGACTTTTTTAAAAAACAGATTTTCCCCCCACCAGAAGAATCTGCACAAACATGGCAGCGTTTTTACTTGTTTAATGAGTTTAAGACATTACATGATGAAAGAGAAGCATTTCAGACTCCTGCATTTTTATTTACCATTCCTAGACTGACAAGAAAAACTCTCACATAACAGCCCTTCTCTAAAGAAAAAGGAAAAAGTGGCTATAAGATTAGAACGTTGCTACAAAGGGAATGCTGCATGTTTTATCAAAATGCAATGACCAGGAATGATGGTTGATTAAAAAAACAAACAAAACAAAAACCACTCTTTCCCCACCCCACCCCCCTAAACCCTGAACTGGAATCAGGAAAGACGGAGGAAATAATCAGAATCACCATTCTATTGCTTTGACACCTTTACTAAGTGAATTGGTGGCATTCACTAAGCTAATAGGGACATTTATATCAAGAAACATTTCTGTATATATTGTTGAATTTTAGTTGTACATATACTTTGTATGTTTTTGTCTTCTTTCATATATGGAGTAAAAGCCACAAAATGCTAAGAGTGTCTTGTATATTTCTCTCAGTGTGTGTCTCTGTCCCTCTCTTTCCTCCCTCCTCCCTTATTTCCCCTCCCCCCTTATAGTTTCTATCACCCTTAAAAAATTCTATTTCCTAATATGGGAAGTTATATATATGTGTGTGTGTATACACACGCACACACACACATATATAAACATTGAGTGCCTGCAAACATGTCAGTTGGCATTGCCAGCCTTTGTCTTAAGTACTTTAACATTAACCACAGATGCCTCTCAGCTTTCTTTACATATTATGTTTTTATTGTAGTTTCTACACATGTATCTGCTTTTTAAACATTAGAATGACCTATCCTCAAGTTAACCTCTAGACATCACCGTAGTTTCTGGTGCTGAAACTGAGTATTCTCCTTTCCCTTTTCCCAGCCAAAATAACACAGCCATATTTGTCTTTGTTTGGATGCAGTTTTTAAAAATACAGGAAAGAAAAAAATAGAAAGTAGAATATACAATTATGCCTACTTAATGTTTAAAACCCATTGCCAACTAGCTAGGTAGAAAAATGCACTATCCTAAATGAAATACGTCCTTCCGATCTTGGGGAAAGCACAGAAATAATGAAAATGAAAAGTCCTTTCGTCATACAAGCAGGAAGCCCCATACTGTGAGAATTAATGGCTACAGACCTGGGCATCCTTCAAATTATGAACCTTGAAACCACTGAGCCATTTATCAGAAGTCAATAGAGATACTCAGAGTGCTCCATATAATGACAGCGACATACAGTCGTGCAAAAGGACAGTCACTATAATTAGACACAAAGCAAAGACTACTTACCAATATACCCGTTCCTTTTTTTGTTGAGCAACTTCCACGCTCAGTCAGTCTTCAGAATGGTTTAAAACCGATCAGTCTTGTCATTTTCTAGCATTCGCATTGTTACATTAGGAAAAATGTTTTCTTTTCTTTTTTCCCCCTTCCTACTGTGAAACTTTGGGTTCGTAGCTCCCCAGGATCAATTCTGAACAAAGCCTCCAGCTGCAGTGCCATCCAATTTGAAGCAGACATTGGGGACAATTTAAGGTTTTTATCCACAAGAAGGTTTTTTTCCATTCTCTTAAATGCAGCCATAATTAGAGTAATTTTTCATGTAGCCCGCTGATTACAGCGTTTTTACCGTCAAAGATAATTACCTGTAATTTTCTTCCACTTTTAATACTAAAAAGCCATCTTTATTTAGATTCAGGAACAGGAAAGGCGAAACAAAAGAGGGAAATTATTCTGTTATTCATACACAAATTGCAGAGACGTAGGACCTAAAATTGAAAATTAACCAAAATTATAATGCTGAAAAGAATGGAAGAGGCTGCAGAAGTACAGCTGGTAGTGGGGCTTTGCTGAATTATTCAAATTACGTTAGGGAGAAAGCTACCATACATCGAAACCAACACTAATTTTTCTTTAAAAAAATTCACCAGAAACAAGCCAAACCACTGTGAGTGCATAAAATTCTGAAACCTGGCAAATGCATGTTGACATATTGGAGGTGTTGTCACGATGCATTTGTATCGATCTCTTCATCTCTTAACAGGAGTTTAATTAAACAAGAAACTCTGCCAAGTAGTCGCCCCAGACTGCCCTTGGAATTGGGCTTTCTCTGGATCCTCTGAACCTCAAGGGTTAATATTTTCACTCTTTAGAATGTTTTGACCCTACGGTTAGCGAATTCCCGAGGGAGGGAGGGATTGGTAGGAGGGGCGTGGGCGAAAGGCGTCGCCCAGTGGTGGTGCCTACTACGCCTCCCCACGTTCGAACTTCTCCAGAGGTTGCAGAGTTCGAGTTCTGTAGCCTCAATTCTGACCATATTTCCTATTTAAAAAGAGATAAAGAGGAGGAGAGAGAGAACAATAGCTGGGGGTGGGGTAGAGGAAAAAGTGGGTGAAGGGGATGATTTATCTTCTCTTCGGCACCAATAAACATCTCATCTCTTGACACAACTTAGTCAAAAGGTTTCTGCCGCTGGACAAAGGCCTTTTTGCACTGGAATAGGAAGCCAAAGATTTCTCAAGCACTTAACATCTCTAGCTGCTTACAACATTTACAAGGTCAGGAAACAGCGTCATCTATAGATAGAACAGCACGGCTTCTTGCTGGAGTCTTCCTTGGTGCGTTCCTAAATCTGGGTTTTCTGGCTCCCCAGCTCGGTTCTGCGTCTCAGCCAATCACGCCCCTCCAGCCCCAAGGTCACAGCGTCTGTGCTCCGCGGGCAGTAACTCCAAGATCCTCATAGCCCCTCCAACCTCCACTGCCTCCACACCCGAGCTTGAGGCCGGCTATTTCGGAAACCTTCCCCCAAGTGGAGAAAAGATGTCGAAGGGGCTACACTGTCCAGAGATTCATCAGACTACACCTGCCTTTGCAAATGTCCGCATGCCTGTGATTCTAAAGGAGCACAATCGCGAGCTCCGTTTAATATCTTGTCACCTCAAAATCTAAAATCATGGCCACAAGTAAAGACCTCTTTGGATTCACCTAGGATTAGCTGCGAATATAATTTTCAAATAGATTTTAGCTTGGAATCTCCAGCAGAGTCTCTCCACACCTTTTAGAAACATGTCGTTTTCCCAGGCTTCAGTCACAAGCTGCACCAAATACATCAACAACATAGAAAACAAGAAAGACAAACGAATACTTAAGGATTCAATTCTCACTCGAATCCTTTCACTCACCAGAACAACAACACTTTTTACTGTTAAAGGGGATAAAAGGTCAACATTGAACAACATATAAAGCAAAGTTGTAGCCCATAATAAATTATAACGGCAACATGTATGTCTTGGAAAGTGTGAGAAGAGAAATAAGAACTGTTCCTTGAAGTATGCAAGAAATAAAAACTTACCCTCGGTGAATATCTCTTAAGCAATGATCAGGGTCTAGAAATCTATACTGAACCGAAGCACAGGAGAATATTTTTCTGAGTCTCAGGGCAGAAGCTCTTTCTCTATATTCTTGGTTGAGTGAGCACATCCAGGTGTGAAATTGTTTGCACACCCCAGCACCTCTTATATTGCCAGCAAAATTAGCTGTTATTACTGTCACTGTTTAGTGATGGTTAGCGTGGTACAAAAAAAAAAAAAAAAAAACTGCTGTAATCAAGACCTGGCGCATCTTTGCAAATTACAGATAATTGTAAACGTCCAGATTATGATAATAGCATCCTAATCCAGCCTGCAATATAATTATTACAGAGTGTTACATCTGAAACTGTCCAGTAGGGCTAATTCAGCCATTATTTAGACCCTATTTTTGCACTGCAAATGGGTTGCTGAGTTGAAAATGTACGATTGTAATTTCACAGGGCACTCAATGAGTAATGGTATAGGAAGAGGAAAATACAAAAGTGAAATGTGAACAGTAGCGATCAAATCAAACCCTGAAGGACAAAAGACTGTTTGATTCATATGGAAAAAGAAGAGCAAGAATTAAGAAAATAGCAAATGAGTGGTCTGAAGCATTTCATGTCCAAATCTTCAATAGTGCAGGGCTGATGTGTTTGCAAGGGCTGCTGCATCTGCTGCTGCCTGGAGTCTAAAATAATTTTTCTTTTGCTTTTTTTCCAACCCCCTGTCTATTTTTCCCCTTCTCTCTCCAGAAGTGTTTTTCTGCTTTAAAAAGGTGCCCCTCCCCCAAAGCAAAGAACATTTGTCAGTTTTGCCATTGTTTCCACAAAATCGCTTCAAAGTGTGCCTGTCACTTGTTTATGAACATTTTCTTAAATAAATTTGCACTCTCTTGTTATCCGAGCAAAATGCCCTTGGACACTTACAAGTGTTCCTGCCCTCTGTCTTCATTCTTTTTCACCACTAAGTCATCTAGAATCCTAGAGGATATTAGCAGAAAATGTATTAATTGCTAATGATTAAATATAGCCGGCTGGGAAGGTGTCTTCTCCAGTTGGGTTGGCTATTGGTTATAATCCTGTCATTAACTTTTATTAATTAATAACCCCCCTCCATATAAAACAGTCCAGCTGCTTCCTTTGCTACATGTCACCAACATGTTAAAATGAGCAAGGTCAGTCTTATTAAAATATAGGAAGACCAAAGAAGAAGAGAATTAGAGTAAGAGAGGGAGAGATCAAGCAAGAGAGGCTGGGGGGCTATGCCGGGCCCAGAGTCAAAGCGCTCTTGGGGTTCAAGTTTTTGCTTCCAGAAACATGAACCCTGCCCTGGTAGAGGGTTCTGGAGTCTAGTGCTGGTTCTTGGTGGGGACCTTCTAGTCAAAGATACCTAAAGTCCCGCATATCCCCAGGAACTCAATTTTCCCACCATGAACACAGAATTTCCTAGGCATCTTTTCTAGCCTCCAGGTCAGTCTATGTTGATTCTCCCTCCTCCCACCACTTCACAGACGCGGGAGCTACCCAACCAGGGCCACCCTGCAGGGTGGCTAGCAGGCTTCCTAGCTCTTGTGAATTTAAGGGCAATAATGAAATGTCCCCTGTTTAGTGACCTCTGTTTAAAATGAAAGTTGAGTCCATATCCTGCTCTTCCTCGCCCCTCTTACCCGACCTTGCAAATGGCAAGTGGCAGAAATAGTCTTGGATGACAATAAGCTTCCATTGGCAGGTTCCTGTCTTCTCGCTTAGCGAGAGAAAAAAAAGAAGCCTTTTAAATAAATCATAGCTTGAGAACTGTTTACCACCCTTCACCCCCACCCGCTTCTTAAAAAAAAATACACTAGACTGCATATGGTGAAGATTCCACAGAGAATCCTCACCGAAACTAGGAGGGAGGGTATGTGTGTAGAGTGATGTTATGAAGCCATTTTTTTTCCTTCCTGTGGTGAAAGGTCGTAATGTGTGGTATTTCACGGTTTTATATAAATCTTGGTTTAGGATGTGGAACAGACTCAATAATACATGTGCTTTTGGCAGAGACTCCTTCGGATCCCCATAAATCAGAAGTAAATAAGAAGTCCAAGTGAACAAAAGAGCAGAAACATTTAATTGATGAAAAACAGGA